ACTAATTACTACTAGGGTCGGTGTTTGCATTAAGAATTATAGAACAAAAGATCAGCAAAGCGGTGCTTTTGTCGGCGATTTTGTCAAAGGGAATATTGATAAAATGTTGCAAAACAGAATCGCGAGTTGGGTGAAAAATTGCGCTGGCGGCATTCTCAGCGATGGCCATACCCGAGAAACACCGTGTCATGGTGCATTCGTGCATCAGTACACCGAAGAAATACATACATATTGTTGCGGACGACTATTGTAGACTGTGTTCGTGTAGCCTTCGAGTTTGTGGACAGTTAAAGTCGTGTGTGAATTTATTCAAGCCAGGAAAAGCAGGAGGGATAACTTATGGAAATCGTCTTTCCAATTTGATCCAGTGCGACGTTGTGAAAGGATCTAACCCTAGTTCTTTGATGACAAGTGGAAGAATTTGGAAAATAAGCGATTTTCCGAAACCAGTCGGCAAAAAAGCGACAGTATCTTTCCTGTTACATATAGCTTCAATTGTTCTTTGATAGAGTTGATGCCATCGATGTGTTTTAAGACACTGTCCACTGCTGACGCGACAATTTCCTTAGAAATCATTTTGATTTGATTTATGGATGGCGAGCACCGACACTCCGATCCGATGAACTAATCAAAACTAAAATGGCGCGTGTCACGTGACTTTGTTTACTAAAGATAGCGTGGGCGTTTGATTGACACTCAACTCATTAGTATTCCACCAATCACAGCTACATCTACTTTCTGGATGTGCGCAGTCAAATTGTATAGGAGACAAGCTGGAGTCTCGTGTGGCGATAGCGATAACACCGGGACGAATGGTCTGGGGTATTACTCTAACTTCGGGGTCAACTTTCTCATTAATGAAAAAAGATATCAAAAATTCAAATAGTAACTTTTTGCCCACACTCCAGCCGAGTACAATGAGCTATGTCTGAGGTGTTGTATCACAGGGAGTTGGACAAACTTGTGTATTTTAATAAATTATTGAATAATAAAATGTTATATAACTTTTCTTTACCCCCCTCCCCTTCCTGGTATCTATTTCAAGTATTTTTGTCAGGTTCAAATCGTTCACCAGCATTTTTGGCATGTT